TCTCTCTCTCTCTCTCTCTCTCTGTACGTACCTCCCTCGTTATCAGTGACCGCTTCTCATCTGGATCGTTGATCAGTGTGAACTTGACCGGCGCGAGACTGGACAGCTTCAGTGGTTTCCCGGTCATCGGACAATACACCGTCTTATCCTGTAAACACGCCACGTAAACAATGTAAACAACATGTAAACAACAGCCCCCCCCTGCTCATCGGACAATACACCGTCTTATTCTGTAAACACGCCACGTAATCAACATGTAAACAACGTGTAAACAACATGCAAACAATGTAAACAACAGTTCCCTACTCATCAGGCAAAACACCGTCTCTACGCGCTTCCTTACCCGTCGGACAAATATGTGTTCTAATCCTGCGACTGAAAAAAATATCAAAAGTCGAGCCATTTTCGAAGGTCACGCACGTTAATCTGAAAGTCGTAATTCAGTCGTACAGCGGGACAGCGGCGCCCCCTGGACGCGACTATGCGCCGTTTCCACGGTTACAAAGGCCGCGCGAAATACGGCGTTACCACGATTACGCGCGCTCGCTCACCGGCTTCTTGACTGCCGTCTTCTTGGCAGCGGGAGTCAGCGACGGAACCCAGAAGCTGGGAAGCGCCTTCGCTTTCTTCTCCGCTTCCAAGATGGACGCCTCGGATGACGCACTCGCTCCCGGCTGTCCGTCTGCAAGATAGACGCGGGAGAGAACACGCGAATAAATAGAGAATTCTATTATCCCTATTTATTGATGTCTTCTCTTTTATGTGTGTCTTCTCTCTATTATATCATTTTAATTATTTTATATCCTCCATATATATATACACATGTATATATATATATTCTATATCATATATCTCATATCTCACCCTCTATATTATATATCTCTTTATTTATTATATCTTATATTCTATGTGACCACTACATAGATTTACCCTTAATTGTCTCTTCTTTTCCTTTTCTCCTTATTTTACACGATTAACGGGTGGAATATTTGCGTTACGTTTTCACGTTGTCACGTGTGTAAAGATCAATGTTTTTGCTGTACAGGCTTGACAGTGCATTTCTTTAAACCACTGTGACGTGCTGCCACCTAGTGAGACACAACAAAACCATTCCCGGAGTAGGATTCCGAAACTGAAGGCTGTAATGCAGCGTTCCCCACGAGAATCGACGCGCAAAAAAAAGGCGAGCAGGAAAATTTGAACGATGGGGGCGGGAGACGCGGCAGTCACCTTTCACCGGGTTGAGGGGTTTACTCATGATGCTCCCTTCCTTTGCGACAAACTTCTCCACCTTCGATCGATGTTCGGACTGGCCGATCTCCCGCATCTCCGTCTGCGAAGAAGACGACGTCATCGTCATAGCAACCGCGCTGCGGGCATTTGAGACGTCGCGCGATCACAAGAACCGCTGGTTTCGTTACTGACATTAATTTACGTTATTGATGATAGCCGAGTTGCGTTTAAATTACGACCGAAGTTAATGGTGACAATTTTGTCCGTGACGGAACATGACGTGGCGTTTTAGACGTCGCGCGACTGCGAAAGATCCGCTGATTTCGTTACCGATATCACCTCATGACGTTATTAATTATAAGGTGAACCACGTTTAGATGATAGTCAGATTACACTGCAATTCTTTCGCCAGAATTGCTATGCATGTAATCAAGGATTGATATTTAATCTTACCAAAATTGATATCAAATTTGTCATTATTAACCCCTGATGCAATTACCACGAAATGCAAATGCAAATTCTCAAAAAGAACCAACGAATACCTAGTACTGGAGAGGTGGACACAAGACGTATCTTCACACACTCACCGCTTCCTTCTTGCTCTGCTTTTCGTATTCCTTCATCTTACGAGCAATCTCTTTCTTCTGTGTGATAATGTACTCCAGTACACATTCTTTATCGAACAGGTACCCGTCCGGACTGGCAAAGAAAAAGAGTTAACTGATTCCAACTGTTCACGTACAATCTAGAAATGTCACGTTTCTGATTCGTGCTTCTTCTTCTTCTTGTCGGGTCACTACACTACACTCGTGCTAGCCACTACAGCACGCAGGACCTGGCACGGTGGTTGAAAGCCACAAGGTCTCCAGGTCTACAGGGCTCTGGTAATTTATTCGTGCCATTTATACATAGCCTTTGAGGTCTGATCAACGAAATCGCAAAAGAATTACGTACAACAAAGCAGGGACGATCGAGCTCAAGACTGCAATTAACCCTTTGAGCCACCATTGGTGTTTGCACTGGGATTTGTAATAAATCAATAACAATTTCGACTAGAAGAAATGTTGCCGAATCGACACATACCTGACCAGAGGGGTCCGGCACGGTTGCAGGGACAAGCAACAGCAGTCAAAGTTCTGCAACAGACAAAAGCTTGTCAATTAATAAAAATACAGCTGCGACACAAAAATCGAAAGATAAACCACGAGCACTGTTGTCAGATACTGTAGTAGCGTAAAAGCAACATCTAAGTATGCCTATAACTATAGTCTATATCTGTGGCCATAGGGGTGTATAAGGAAAGCCCACCGGCACTGTGCCGTGGGAGTGATGCAATTACGAGCACGCGGGCTAGTACATGTTCATTGCTGGGTCGATGCTGGCACTTAAGTGCTAGCATCGACGTCCTAACAGTAATTGAGTAATTGAGTTGTAGCCGTTTATGTCATTGAAT